GCGAAAATTTCAAATTTAATTGATTATCAATGTCCGTATCTCTCAAGGTTAATGTAATGTTTCGGTCGTCAGTGATCCGTTACAGTTGATTGAATTTTTTTATTTTTTAGTATTTCGTAAAACAGTTTTTCTATTATACTAATCAATAATTTAATAGTTTTTACATTTCTGTTGCAAAGTTACACTTTCATGAATACGTTACAATGTTAAATGTAATAATTTATTAATTTTTTATCGGCTAATACTAATTTTCGTGATATTAATTTTTAAATTAGAACTGCATTGATGTGTATTAAATAGAAATTAATGTTGAGAATAGTTACGTAGTCAAAAATTGACTTTAAGCGGGGATTGATTATCACTCGAGCTAGACGTAAGTTGCGGGCATTGCGCTCGAAGAAAGAAGAGGCTAGAAGCTGAAGAGACCCAAACTGCCACGAAGAAGGTGACAACAAAGGGCTTATCATCCTTTGGATGGAAAATCCATCTAAAGCATGAAAAGTCATTCTTATTACTATTTCGTCACTATGCTCTTTTCGAATTTGTAGTTATATTTTTTCTTCTTCTTCATGATCGTTTATCAGCGTTTTGGGCAAGTCGCGGTTTTTTCTTGTCAGTGTTGCGAGAGGTTGATGACGAGAGATTGAATTAAAGTTGCGAAATAATTTCGAGCCTGATTATTATTGTTGCGAGAAATTGATTACGGTAAATTAAATTAGAGTTGCGAAAAAATGATAATCGTGTTTGCTTAAAGTATTGTCAGTCGAGTCAATAATAATGATTATTGATAATAGTTCTGATAAAATCAGAGCTAATAATAATGATTTTATCAGAATTATTTCTTTATCATTTTCTTTTATTTTCTCTGTTCTGAATGTTTCAGAAATAAAATAGAATTTTATAAATATTCGAATTTCGTATGCATGGATCAAAGTTTATTCGCGATCGTCGTTTATTTGTAACAGAAATCTTGCAATGAAAATATTTTGCTTTCTATTCTTCGTGCTAACAAGTTGAAAAGTAAATCAAAATGTGTTTAATCGAATCTCCTTTCATCTTTGTATCAAAGATAAATTTTCAGTTTTTGATTTTTATTAAGTCTAATTTAAATTCTATCACTGGAGTTTCTTGCTTTCAATTTTCATAATTTTGAGTAGAAATATAATTTAATTCAGTTAATAAAATATAATTATAAAATAATATCTTGGCAGTAACTTGATTTTTCTTTTTGCGTGTGTAATATGTCTTCATTACAGACCTTTTTATTTTGTCTTTTTATTTAAATTATAATGCTAACTCAATATATAAGTTTGTTTCAGATACATCTTACAGAGAGTATTGATTACTGAAAATAGACAGAGATATATACATTAAAGGTTTAGAAAGATGAAACATAAATCAAAGAAAATGAGGACATCGAATGTACTGTATAATTGTATGATTCCCAATTGTATGTACAATTGTACCATTATTGCCTAATTTGGATCAAATATTTCCAAGTATAAATATAATCACCAGTTGCCAACTAAAATAATTGTAAGAAGTAGAGGACGGAACCCCATTTGATGTCTGGTCTATCCTAATTAATCAATGGTAATATGTTTGATCTATTCATATACCTCGTCTGTCGTATAAAGAAATTTCTTAATTACGAGCTGGTGAAGTGATTATTCTAAGTGATTATTCTAAGTGATTCTAAATGATTCATTCATTTCATAATAAATTCTGCCTCTCGTTTTTCTTAGGTATTTAAATATTTTTGACTATTAGTAATTATTTTATGTAGAATCGTAGCATAAGTAGTTTGGTATTTAATACGTTGATTGTTATGTGAAATTTGTACGTTTTGTCTATGAGTCGGAATATTTAATTTGAAAATATTATGTTACAGTAAAAGTACATTTTCCATTAGTATAGTGTAGCCGAGTTAATTTAAAATTCTTTGGTCGGATGATATTCATCTTAATCATTCTAAAGTGTTTCTGACGAAAGAAACTTTTGATCATCGTAGCAGTCAACGTGCTAGTTAGAAAATGCTTATTGAGTGTTGCTTGTTTGATGTGCTTTGCTTGTATAAGTGCTTTCGTATTTAAATAAGTAAGATAATTAATGTATACATTAAGGATTAAGTAGTTAAGGTAAAGTAATGTAATTTCTAATAGTGTAATTTCTAATGAGATTCTATATTTCATTTCTTTTTCTTTTTTTGAACCATCAACTATTTTATAATTTCATAGTATGAAAGTGTAAAATATTGATGCAAATGTGAGATAGCATCTCATACATACATTTAATGTTACTAATGGTTTATTTTCAGCTTTAGACTTCCGCGTCGGTTTCCCTTGAAACTCCTTTTGTTGCTCGTTTTGCGTAACGATCAAAAGATTGAGAGTTTCGCAAACGCATATCAAAAGGGGAATTTTTTTGAATAAATTGATGTTCTAAATTAGTAGATTTTTGTACGTTAAAAGGTGGGTGGAAGGGCCGCGGATAGGGTGGGTCTCTATTCGCAGCAACCTCCTTGTGGTGAGACCTGGGCAATTGTATTATTTGATATATGTTACTAATTGTATCACTGTAATTATAGTAACTATGCTACAATTATTAATTGATATAGCAAATAATATGAGCGAATTGGCTGCGATTAGAGTCGATTATTCTTTAAGCAGGTAGGATGTTCGTTAGATTCGCTAGAAATTCGCTACATTAACTATTAAGTGGATTATTATTAAGTTAAGCCAGATTTAAGTTAGATATTTTAGATTAAGGAAGCAGCATGTCTCTAAGTTTTCTAGATTAAGCAGATAGGTTTAAGTTAGATCTTTTGGAATAAGTAGGAAGGGGGTTTTTAAGTTAGACTAAGATAGGATAGTTTTAAGTTAGATTTTCTGGATTAAGCAGGCAGAGTATCTTTAAGTTAGATTTACTTTTAAATTAAAAGTGTAATACATGAATGGGTGTGTGTAAATGAATGTATAAATTTTGTGAGTGTATAAATTCCTGATATAGAT